AATAATCGGGGATTTTTTGGGGGGGGGGAAAAATTTTTTCCTGTTATATTTTTTTTTGGGGGGGGGGGGGGGGGGGGGGGGGGGGGGGTCCCACACGCGCCTACCGGTAGCAACACGGATGCCGGAAAAAGAGTTCTTACATGATTATCGAAATGTGCGCTAAACAGTGTATCGCAGACGCTGCAGTCCTGAAACGGAGCTCGGGACGTGAGGTTTGTAACTTACTGTAACACACAAAAGTTGGTGAGCGAGAGAGGAGACAGGAGAGCACCAGAAGGGCAGTTTGTTTTCGTTTCCAAATCCTACACCCACCAACCTGTATTCCTCCGTACTGCACAATATCAAGATTAATATTATACACAGCGACCTGCACTCGAAGCACCCTATTCCTTTATGATAATTAAAGTGACATAGGCATGACAATGCAACCTCCTTTCAGGAGGCGAAAGAGTTGAGGAGTATCGATATGATTCTATCGATGTGATTATTTCAATGTGATTGTTGGTAGGTGTGAAGCGTTGTAAAGTACAGGACAGCATCGGTTTACCCTTTTTTGCTTGGGGTGGAATGGAAGGCGTACAAAAGAGAGCCCCCCAAGTACGGGTAGCAGTACTAAAAGATAATTATCAACACGGTACAGAATGGACGCTGTATGATATATACATATCTTGCAGAGCCGTTTATGGAGGGTTTATGGAGCGGCGTGAAGAATTCGCGAGGGGCAGCACGATCCCACAGTTCTATTTTAGCATCACCGTACAACACATGAATATGACGTTGTCAAAGGCCCCTTACAGCGAGGAGGTGATCTGTCGTTGCCCTGTCGGTATGAGAGTGACTCTGGTGGACTTGAATGCTGCAGGTGCTGTCCACGGCTACCTGCGCTGTACCTGCCACGGAGCGTAGTTCAGTTCCTGTGCCGGAGAGCATTCATAAAAAGAACAACAAAAATGCCCCTCCTCTCCCCTCGCAGAAAACCCCAGAGACACCCCTTTCTTTTGTGAGTACATCGGTCCTTGGTGGATTGTTGAAGACCCATTGTTGAAGCTGAGAAGGGGAACAGCCTTTTTCTGGAAAGGACCTCTCGTGAATTCGGGGACGCAGTCTCGCATCAATGAAAAACGAACAAAACAATTAAAAACATCGCTCGCCTGTTCTTGCAACATGCGATCATGTATAAAAAGTATGAGGATTGCAGTACAGTATCATACCGTGCCGAGGAGAATCCCCGAGATAAGGGATAAGGCCATATCCTGAGGCAGAAGAAAGTATTATTATTTGCGAGAACGCGTCGTGGCGTGTTGTTTCTCCTGGACATGTCTATCTGTACCGGTCTATCAAAAACGGAGGCAAAACATGAAACCGGGAGAGGCCCTTGTATGAAAAGGAAGTGGCAGAGGTTTATACGCCGGCGCGGGGCAAAAGCTTCTTTTTCGTGTTTCGTCATGAGAGAGGATGAGTATGATGTTGCCGCCCCGTTGTCATACCGCGTGGTAGATGATGACCGAGGGAGACGAAACGAGAGACCAACAAGCACCCAAGCACGACAGGCGGCAGCGATGTTTTTTCTCACCCCGTCTCGGAAACTGGCCCTCCTACACTTGCCAATTTTCTCAACTCACCACTCACCCGCCCTGTCCGATCCCCACCGCCTTGCTTCTTCGCTCTGCCTCGCTCTGCCCCGCTCTGCCTCGCTCTCCGCTTGCTCTTCGCCTTGTTTCGCCTCGCTTCGCTGCGCTTCGCCTCCCCTTCCCCTCCGTCCCTCTCCCTCTCCCCCGTTTCCTGTCCTTTCCCAACTCCGCTCTCCCAACCTCTTATCATCATCCCCTAATTTCCTACACTATACTCTACTTTCCTTACTCATTCTTCTCACTTCAAGCTACCCATTTCCTTATTCCCTGCGCCCACCTACGGCCCCCCTCCCCCTTTTCCCCGCCTTCTTCCCCCTCTCCCGACCCCCCATCGTTCACACTTCTCTCGCGCATACTTCTCTCGCGCCTTCCGTCAATGCAACCACTTCCCCCCCTTTCGTCCCTTTCCCATCCCCACCGCATCACCCGCTAACACACCCCCATCTCACCAATGACGGGTGCCGCCACCATGTCCATCGACGTCCCCGTCTCTGACCCCTCGCAGCGTGCCGTCTCCGATCGCACCCAGTCCATCTGGCTCCGCATCGCCCGCATGCAAGAATCCTTCAACGACCCGGACCGCTCCCTCATCGCCTACGAGCAAGTCCTCAAACACAATCGCTCCAACGTTCACGCCATCGTCAGCGCAGCTCTTCTCCTCATGAAGAAGGACCATCTGCACGCGGCCATCAGGTACCTCATCACCGCCGTCCAAATAGACCCACACAACGGCGACGCCTGGCGCGCACTCGGCTACACATACATTTTGACCGACGACATGGACAAAGCCTACCATGCCTATTTCAACGCCCTTGAAAACTTGCCCGATCATCACGACCCGCAGTTATGGTTCGGCATTGCCGTCATTTATGATCGCATCGGAAACTTGCACGATGCCTTGCGCACTTTCAATACCGTTCTAGCCATAGCCCCAAATTTTGAGAGATCTGACGAGGTCTTCTATTCAATTGCCCTCATTTACAAGGAGCAAGGCGAGTATCACATGGCCAACTCCTACATGACCAAGATTATCTCCATCAATTGCTCACCAGGCGCTTCTGCGGAAGCATGGTATCAAATAGGCACATTACACGACATCACCAACAACATCCCTTCTGCTACTGAGGCCTACCAAAACGCCCTCACAAGACTCCCTACCCACACCAAGTGTCTCCAGTCCTATGCCTGGCTCATTCACAAAAATGGCAATTCAAGCAAGGCCGTCGAGTTGCTTCAGCGTGCACTCGGTTACGATGACTCAGATGGCGTCACAAACTACCTTATCGGCCGTATCTACATGGCAAATTTGGATTTCCGCGTCGCTTACGATAATTACCAGCGAGCCGTCCATCTCGATGAGAAGAATCCAAACTTTTGGTGTTCAATCGCCTCCTTGTATTACCAAAGACGACAATATCGCGATGCCTTAGATGCCTACACCCGCGCAGTGCGCATCAATCCGGACATTGCAGAAATCTGGTTTGATTTGGGCACTTTGTACGAGGCCTACTCAAACTTTGGCGAGGCGATGGAGGCATTTCAAAGGGCTGCGAAGCTCAAGCCTCACAATATCGCCTTTACCCAGCGCATCGCTGCCTTGCGTACCAATAATATGAATGGAACCGCGCTACAAGGTCCGAGTGATCGTCCACTCAGCGATGGGCCGGAGATGACCCCTGCCTCGAGAGTCGGCCAGCGACCTCATATCAAGTGCGATGTCGTGCGGAGGTATGGCTTGCTCATGCCGCCTTCAGATGTCCAGAATATAAAACCGTCTGTCCCGGTGCCCTCCAGCCATCCAGGCGCTCTACCCTCGTTTAGATCACTGGCAGGCGACAGGCAATTGGGCCCAGGAGCACTTCCTGTTGTGAATGGACCTGCGCCGGTTAAGCAGAATGGAGTCCACCGAACACAGAATATGCAGAGCATGTCTAACGGTCTAGTGTCGCGCGCGAACGCACCAAAACAAGAAGACATGCCCATTAGCAGTTCTCACTCACCACAGTCAAGGGCTGCTCCGATCACTGGTCCTCGACAGGAGCCAATTTATCATCAGCAGCTGCAGCACCAGCCGCCACAGCATGCCGATGGAAAGCCTGTGCGGTATCCTGGCAGCGCACGAGCGCCAACCGATGTCGTTGCAAACGTTCAGTACTCTTCCCAGATGTCTACGGCACCTCAAGTAGACTCGCGTATGACAGACTACCCTCGCAGCGGTATGTCTCAGGATTACCGCCGACCTGGGTCGAATCCAGTTGATCAAGGAAGTCAACAGCCTTTCTCGCGAGGCTATCCATCTTCAGAAGCCATGAGGGACAGGCCCCCTCATTTTTCGCAACCAATACACCCATCCTCCGCCTCACTCAGTACACATGATGAGCAAAGCAGGCCAAGAAACGGTATGGGCCAAGAACATTCGCGACCAGGAGACAGCAAATGGTCGAGTGCCCCAGCTGTTGGAATCCCGCCATATTCTAGAAATCATCAGACCCCGCACGGGTACCCATCTAACGAAGCACCATCGGACAGAAACACAATGGGTTCTACTGGCACACAAGCAGGTGCTCTCCCAGCTTCAATGGGTCTCTCTTCTCGATTTCGCAGTGAACCCATGGAACAGGCTGCGAATATTCTTGCTTCCCGTCCAATCGAAACTACAGATCCGTCACATACTACTTCTCAAGTGCAGCTCCACGGAGCCCGTCCAATTCCGAAACCAGACACAAATGCAAACCCTGCGATACCGTATGGTCCGAGAACCACAGAAGAATCAAGATATTCGGGTGTGAAGGAAAATGAGAATATTCCCTCCGCCAACAATCGATCCCCCCCACGGACCGGATCGGATAAGCTCTCACAGCTTTCCGGAACGCCTCCTCGGGACAAAATGGCTCAGGAACCGTTTCATTCTACGGAAGCAAAACACAAATCAGCAAGCATGACCCCTGTTTCTGCCCCATCTACGTTTACGAGCTCGAACGAATTCAGCATGGAACGCAAAGAAGGGCGATCCGACTCCCACCTAAGTCACCCAGGGAACAGAACTTCTCGACCACAACTCCTCAATCCTATACAGGATGGCCAAATGGGGCCGAAGTTGAATGCTGCTAAGCCCGACTCTCCGGTTGATGAGGAAATGCTTCCTCGCCTTCCCCCGCTTCCCCCCGCCCAAGGGGAACAGCGCAACATGAGTGCGGGAATGGACACCAACAGACCCCTCTTCAGGGACGGACATGCGCAGCGCATACCTTTGGTAACTGCACAGCCAGCGCCGACGCGAAGTGATGCCCAGCACACTAATGCAATGAATAGACCCGAGGCGAAAGGTGACAAAGGAAGCGCTTTCGGACCGCATGGCCCGCCAATTTCCCGTGCCGAAGACACGGGCCGCGATGGTCCCTCGACTATTCCGAGCACAACGATGGGCGGCAGTGCGGACCGCAAATACGACAACCCGCCGGCCTCACAGTCGGATATGTACAGCAGACAGGCAGCTTCACCATCTCTCAGGCGTGTCACTGAGAACGCACCTTTGAGTGGAAGTTCTCGCGCGATGCCCATCAGCTCCATGATGATCCCAAGCGAGACGAGAAGAGTTGTGAACGGCGGGGTCGGTCAAATGTCATCACCACTTCATTCAGCTCATAAAGCGCCTGACACGCTCTCTTCACCGAGTCCAGTTCGCAGGGACGCGTACGCCCCACAGTCAAACGGCAACGAGAAAGTTGTGAAGACCGGTTCTCCCGGGCCCCTACGAAGCAATCAACCAAGCACTTCCGCTCACCTCCCAGCCCCTCATCAAGCTGGGCCAGAAGGAGCACCACTTCCCCGACATTCATCAGGTCTCACAAAATTCCCGAGAGGCAATGGCTCTAGCGGAAAGCAATCTGAAGGTTATTCATATATGCAGGCTAGGGAAAAGACGGAAACCCACCATCAACTGCCTCGCGTTCCGTCCACAGGCATTCGGTCTAGTTTACAACTTGCTAACAACGGGGGGATCCCAACTTTGAAGAAGCCGAGACTGCAGCCGTTCGGGAGCGATCAGGGGCAGAGGGAGAAATCTCCTAGCGCTTTCGAAGGGCGAGACGGAAAGGGCGCTCACGGGCATTCGGTTCGCAATCCTTTCGGATCTGGTATATCTGCGTCTTTTTCAAAGAGTTTATCGCGTAGTGGTCCTTCAGGGCCAATTGGTGTGGTTTCGATGAATGGATCAGGTGCGGCAGCCGACATGGCGACGGGACCGAGCACTTCTGGAAGCATGAGATCGCCGGGCAAGAGAGATGATCGAGCAGTTCGAAGTAGTTCTCGAGAGGATATTCCTGGACTGGGCAAGCGCAACGCGACCGTTTACGAAAACGGCAGCGTCGGGACGGGGAAAAGTGACTCATATGGAAAGTTTATATCAAAGCCGAGCGTATTCGGACCTTCACCCGAAATGAAATTGCGTTCACCAGAGAGGGCGCAGCAACCACCCCACTTCAAAGGAACAACACCGCCTTACCGACCAGGGATGGACGGTAGAGGCTTTGCTGACAGCAACGCGGAGGTGAGCAGACCTAAGATTCACCACACAGCAACAGAGTCGAATGGTGGTAACCGATTCAACGGAGGTGATTTGTAGCGCGGCATTCGAGGTTTTTGATTCAGGATAGGTTTCGTTCTCGTCTTTGATATTTCAGGCAAAGATAATAGATTCAGCAAATACTTGTAACTGTTAGGTTTGAGAATAGCGGCGCTGTATTGGTTTCCCAAAAGTGGTCAGCTTCAGGAGAATTTTTCGCGGCTCTCTAGCTAATAGTGGCCTACGCGCTTTCATAGATATTCCCAATGTCGGCTTTCTCCGAAGGGATTGCGCGCATCTCGCGCAGTAGTTTGATTTTGTGTAACAGTTCTGAACTTGTGCGAAAGAAGTAAATACGCAAAGCTTGCTGCAACGAAAGAAACCTGATTTACTAGATGGCGCTTTTTTAGACAAAAGGGTAGACTCCAAAAAGCAGACGACTTAAGGTGCCTGTTGGTTGAGTAGGGTGTCGCGTGGCGTACTTGTTGTCGCTTTGAACATCGCATCTCCGAGAAGATGCAATGTTCAAAGCGGCAACACAAGACGTCTTGGGATTGCGGGGATTGGCACCAGAATCATGCTGTGCACTTAATAAATTGTGACTACACATAGTATATCGTGATCAATTCTGAATCTGATCTCTGGAGATTGTTGTCCGGAACCACGACTTCTTCCTAAGAACGAGGGAAGGTCACAGTGACCTAAACCTGTCATCGATGTTGATACGTACTACAGTATAACGTGTACTGTACCCTTGTGTACAGTACCCTTTTACAGTACCCTCGGGAACCGGATACTGTACTAAATTATAGGTCAGAATGCCGTAAAGTTTACACGTATGGGACGAAGAAACCCTCACAACCTAAACGTGTATTGGAACCGATAGAATATCGATACTATACCTATCCTGATCTAACAAGAGCTTTCGTCTTTTACGAAGCGTTCTGCAGACTTGAACCAATACGCTCCGAGTCCCTTTTACCTTTACAGCATGGCAGAAGGCGGCAAAGATTCCAGTAGAGCGGTGGCGGAAAAGTTTCTCAAGTTTAACGATGAGGGCAAGTCTCCATACCACGCAACAGCGGCCATTGCCGCGATCCTACTTGAGGACGGCTTCGTTCCCATCCGCGAAGAGCACAATTGGGAGGGACAGATCAGCCCGGGGGGGAAATGCTTTTTCACGCGTGAAGGCTCCTCGATTATTGCGTTTACCGTAAGCGACCATATCGAACCATTTAACACGGGCTTCACCATCCTCGGCGCACATACCGATTCGCCGTGCTTCAAAGTTAAGCCCGTATCAACTATCTCTGCACAAGGTTACTTGCAGCTCGGTGTTGAATGTTACGGCGGCGGGTTGTGGCACACCTGGTTTGACCGGGATCTGACGGTTGCAGGACGCGTCGTTGTTCGCGACGAAAGCACTGGCAGATTAGATTTTCGCCTGGTCTCTATTCCGAGACCTATTCTGCGCATTCCAAACCTTGCGATTCATCTCTCACGCAACATTTACACAGATGGGTTTAAACCGAACAAGGAATCTGAGACGACACCAATCATGGCTACCAAGCTTGCGGCCGCGCTCAATGCCGCACAGCCGGATGCAGAGTCAGAAAAGAAAAAAGGGGCAAATGCCTCTGGTTTAGCTGAGAACCGACACTCCCCCCTGCTTTTGAAAGCTCTCGCTGATGAACTGGATGTGAAACCGGACTCTATCGTCGACTTAGACTTATGCGTGTCAGACATGCAACCAGCAGCGATTGGTGGGTTGCTCAACGAGTTTGTCTTCGCGCCGCGCCTCGATAACCTTTCATCGTGCTTCTCGGCCGCGAGAGCGTTGGTGGGCACATCAGAGAGTACCGGTGCTAATTTGATTCGCATGGTGGCATGCTTCGACCACGAGGAGATCGGGTCTCGTTCCTCGCACGGAGCGGATTCTCCCCTTCTAACAGACAGCATGAGAAGGATCTGCAAAGCTCTCAATGTTGACTACGACTGCGCGACGCGCCGGTCCCTTCTAGTGAGCGCAGACATGGCCCACGCTATTCACCCCAACTACGCGAACAAGCACGAGACAAACCACCGGCCAGCTCTTGGAAGCGGTTTGGTCCTTAAGACAAACCAGAATCAGCGATATGCGACGTCCGGGATTACTGGTTTGATTGTACGGGAGGCTGCCAGAAGAGCAGGAGTGCAGATTCAGGAGTTTGTGGTGCCGAACGATAAACCATGTGGGTCGACGATTGGACCAATATTGAGTGGGGTAAGTGGGCTGAGGACAGTGGATGTCGGGCAGGCGCAGCTGTCGATGCATTCAGTGAGGGAGATGTGCGCAGTAGCAGACTTTGTGAAGGTCGAGAAAGTTTTCGAGGCCTTATTAGTCCATTTCATGGATATTGATGGGAGCTTAGGAGGAACAGAAATTACGACCAACGGATACAAGGCTTAAGGGTTGGCCTACGAAAGCTCGGAGAGACGGGGTTTGAATCTGGGGCAACTGTAGAATGGACTCACAACTAGCAGCAGCAGTGCGATGGGGATGCCTGAAACGCTTTGCTCGCGATACTGCGCTACTCGAGGGACCGATAAGAGTAAGGGAATGCTTACGGCTATTTGTTTGATGTATGACGAGGACATTGTCGAAGTGGCATCGATGACCTCTATGCGCGCCTTGTACTGTTAAGCTGCGCTTTTGTGAAGCTGGTGGAAGTGGTGAAAGTCAGGGATGGGATACACATCTATGAGAGCAAAGTATAGCTTGCAATCGAGGACTGCGTGGGGTTTTCATCCTTCCAAAAACAGGAACAGAACCAGATTCCAAAGGCTGTAGAAGAAATATAGCGCCCCCATAAAACTTTCACGACTCCAGGTGCGAAGTGTTGAACACTTTTCAAAGCATTGAATGTGAAGTCTATTCGTAAGAAATCATTCCCTAAGATCGACCATGTGAACACTAACACGGAATCCTCTCCGTTACTTACGGTCTTTGACCTCATAGTCCTGCGTGCATCACCTGCCTCATGTACGCAACTCAAAGTAGAATCTTGAATGAAAGGTTATGCCTCAAACGTGGCATTTATGACAGCCATATCGATACTCGAACCAGAGAATGCATTCATACCTTCCGAAACCTGTCTGTCATGTTTGGTCGCACAGTGTTCAAAGCCTTGGCAAGAAACTATGCAGCAGTTGCTGTGATGAAACAATCCCACCCTCTATACCATGCCCTTTACTAATCGCGAACGTATCACTCACTGACCAGACTATCACACCACTAAACTACTTTCCGCTGCTCCATCATGACCCGCAACCATTTCACCCCCTCGGCTTCACCAGTCCACGACAAGGGGCTCTCTCCCTTTCTTGCCTTGGGAAAGGACATCTGCGAACGCATCATGTTCCACATATGCTATCAAGGCTTTCACGAAACCACAATTTCCACCGACGGTGTCCGTCTCCTCCTTCCATTGGCATTGGTCTGCAAGAGGCATTACACCCTGCTCTCTGTTGTTGTCCGCCATCTCAAGGTTGACAATCTGGGTTCAACATTGTGTGGCGAATTCGAGGCATTGTCCAGCAGCCGACACATACCAGTTCCCTTTGACGCACTCTTCGATGACGATCCATACTTTCCGGTGTACGGGCCCCTGCTGCTTTAGTTTCCGCCTCTAGAAATTAACGTTTTTAACTGTGTCGCCTGCGAGGCGTGTCCGATGATACTCTTTATCTCGTTGCATACTACCTCCAGAATCTCCGCGAACTTCGAATGTGTGAAAACCATCAAACCACCGTGAACGACCTCTCTACTGTCGCTACTTCTTGCAACAGACTAACCGCACTCAGCATCCGCGGCTGCAAACAGATTGGAGACGAGACAGGGCCGATACTGCGTTCAATGTCGTCCCTGTCGCATTTAGACTTAAGTGGATTAGATGTTACTGGCGTGTTCATGTCAAATGTCGCAAGGATTCCAACACTAAGTACGCTTTTTCTCCATGGATGTTACTTTCTCGGAAGCGACGCATTCCACGCCCTGGGATGTAGCGCAAATTTTCTGGAACATTTGCATTTGTCCTACTCATTCGGCCTTTGTAGTCATAGTATGCGCCAACTTACCAGTTGCACACATCTACACAGTCTTGACTTGTCATATTTGGCCTTTGTCACTGATGAAGGCGTTTCGGAGTTCGGTAACTATGATAAAATGCACGCACTTGAGTAGCTAGTTCTTTCAAATTGCCATCAGATAACTGATGAAGGGGTTGTAGCACTCGCTAGGAATAAGTCAATTCAACATCTGGCCTTCATAGATTACGAACTTCTTTCTGATGCATGCGCAGAAGCGATCGGGGAAATGGAGTCTTTGAAACATCTGAGCTTATTGGGATGTAAGGATCTAACTGACAGGCCATAGTCGCAATTGCCCGTTTATCAAGCCTCGAGACTATTGCGATTGCACGTTGCGTCGAGCTGACCGATTTAAGTGCCAAAGCGCTTGCGGACTCTCCGAGTCCACCATTACAAGAAATTACAGCATGCAATTGTGATAGAATCTCACCTGAAGGCAAAGTCCTATTTCGCAAGGCTTGCAAAACTTTTCGTGGTTAGTGATAGCATTGAATGAGCACTGGCGCGGGGAAGAGTGATTTTCACCACTTTCCATCTGAGATCATACTTGACAAGGTGCCCTTTCAAGTACCTGCCAGTGCGCGGCCTTTGGGAAGAATGCGAGTGCGCACATTTCACGTTTGAGCAGCTCTAAATCGGAGGGCCACTTCTAACCGCAGACCCCTGACTGTTGTTGTTATTATCTCTAAGTTAAGCTACAATCGAGTACGAAAAGACTGAAACGGGTTCCGCAAAAGTCAGGGACTCCGTGCTCTTTCGTGGATGATTGTAGGGGCGATAGTTGGGATTGAGCAAAACAACATTGCAGAGTCCTCTCCCAAGTGCCTCTGATGGCTTACAATCTGAAAATGGGTGCTGGCAACGGAAGCCAGCAAGGCCAGTCCCGAGCTTACACCAGAAATTCCGCCGTTCCGCCACCCATTGTTTTTCACCCACGTGTCCACAGATCTGGCAAATATCTCCTGAAGGCGTCTCCAGCGCACCATTCTCCCATCCAAGAGTCCACAGAAACTCACCCTCCCATACAATATGTATAGAGTTAATACTGCGTTTAGTGGGGCGATCGTGGTCTTTTTTGTGGCAAAAAGGGGGTATATATAGAGTATATGTATATACCGTGCTGTACTTCTACTTGTACCTCTAACACACCTAAGTCTAACACCTCATCTTTATACTTTGCACCTGCCTACCACATCTTGCTCCATCCCCCCCGTCCCCCACACACCCCCTCACACTATGTCCTTTCCACCTACAACCCACACCATGACCTCCCCACTCACCTTCAAGCACCACCACCATACCTCCCCCCGCGGGCCGTCCCCCTTCCTCTCTCTAGGCCCAGACCTCTTCGAGCGCATCCTTTCGTACCTTTGCGACGAGCCTTTCCCCCACACCGCACTCTCTACTGACGGCATCCGTCTTCTCCTCCCTTTCGCCCTCACGTGCACTGGCCATTACGCCCTCTTCACTCGTCTAACGCGTCGCCTCACTATCCTCCCATTGGGTTTCACTTCCTCCTTCCGCCCCCCCTCCCCCCACAGAACCCCTGTCCCTTTCTCCGCCCTCTTCTCCTGTAATCCCTCCCCCTCGTTTCCCATCCCAAGGAAGCGTCGCTCCCCGTTTTCGAACGTCTCCCCGCTCATTCTCGAGCACGGCTTGCGCATCTTCCCCAATCTCACATCCCTCCACCTCTCGCGCGCCGTCAAAGTCACGGATAGTTCGCTCCGCCACGTTGCGACCTTCGGCACCGCCCTGCGCGAGCTCCGCCTTCCAGGAAACGCCTACGTCACCGTTGACGGCCTTTCTGTTGTTGCCGCCTCGTGCTTCGGTCTCCGCAAACTTGACCTAGCCTACTGCAAGCGCATGGGCGACGAAGCCGCCCCGGTATTGCGTTCCATGCGCGCCTTGGCCTATCTGGACGTCAGCAACTGGAAAATCTCGGACGCCTTTGTCGCCGAGGTGGCCACCATTCCGACGCTGGCGTCCCTTTCGCTCAGCGTGTGCACGCGTCTCACGCGCGATGCGTGCGCGTCGCTGGCAAGAAGCGCGAAGAACGTCCAAGAGGTCAAGCTGCGGTGCGCGTCGGGCTTGCGTGATGGCGCCGTGCGCGAGCTGGTACAGTGTGCGTATTTGAGAAGCCTTGACTTGTCGCTGTTGAGCAACATTTCAGATGACGGAATCGCAGCGTTGGGAGAGCCCGGCAAGTTGCCCGGGCTGCATACGGCTTTGTTGTCGCAATGTTCCATGATCACGAATGCTGGCGTCAAGCTGCTGGCGAGGAATAAGGCTATTCGATGCTTGGACTTGAGCCATTGCAATTTGCTTACGAACGGGTGCGCCGACGCTATTCGGAGCATGACCGCGTTGGAGAAACTCGATATGAGCGGCTGTAATAGTCTTACCGACCGCGCGGTGGTGGCTTTTGCGGAGCTGCCATGTTTGACCAGTATCACACTAAGATACTGCTTCAGACTCACTGATCTTAGTGCTGACGCCATTGCCCGTTCTCCGAGTGTGCCGCTACGCGTCATAGATGTCCGCAAATGTCCCGAAATCTCGGCGAGAGGAATGGAGGGCATGAGAAAGGCGTGTACATCATTGCGCGTTTGACTGCCTCTACAAATTGTAAGCTAAGTTATTTGAGACCTCCCATCTCAGCTGCACGCATCCCCGAGTTTCTTGCACGCCGATTTTCGCAAGACCTGCGCGGGAAACTCCTGTACAGCATATTTATACAGGACCTCAACTCAATGTGTGTCGCACGCTCCCATCCGATCGTTTTATACAACTACAACTCCATATCCAGGTCCATCCTTGTTCTAGGAAATCCTTTCTCGTCCTGTTTCCTGGAACTTAACCATAATAGATAAAATTAACAAACTACCTCGGGACAGCGATCTCATTCAAAACTGCGACTAGAGCATCATATCCAGGTTCGTCAAACTCCTTCACTGCTGCGACATACGGCTCGAACAAATCCTCGTGACCGCGTAGCACCATTCGTAGCACAGTTATATCCAACAGCAGTGTCGCGCAGCATAATATTATATCGGGTGCACGAGCAACTCTGGCAACTGTCATCACATATGATAGCTCTTCTCTGGATAGCTGCCGCGCTTTTGTTCGAATGTTCACAAGGCGCTCACTGTCATACGAAGTCGGTGGAGGCGGTAGCTGAGAGCCGAAGACAGTATCTGCTCCGGGGCCAACGAGTGACACACTTGCCTTTATGGCCAGAGATCTCGGTGTGACTAACGGCTGCATCTCATCCAGCGTCGGCGTTGGTGCCAGGCCATTATGGTGACTTGATGTTGAGTCCATGGACGAACTCCGGCCCTTCGCAACATCCACCTCGTGGTTGAAGACTCGCATCGCTCTCCGCACGTCGTGCGTGGTTGGCGCGGGAATCTGAAATTGTCTGTGAAGTGAAAGAAGTGTATTCCCCACGTCCCGCACAAAAGGTTTGCTTGCGCTCTTTCCCTTCAACTCCCTCTTTAGATATTCAGAGAGAGGAAAATCCATTCGCACCGCTAGAGCCGCCAAGTTTCTCAGATCCATATGGTTCAGCAATGATCTTGCATGATTTAGGACTGCCAAGTCCACGGCAGGTATTCGATCAGCAGGACCGTCCTTGGGTTGCTTTCGCTTCGGCAGGCGGCTGAGAGCCCCGGCCTGAGGTGCTTGGACTGCTTCCGCAATCCAAGAAACGTCTTCGGTTGTTCGCAACTGAGAAGAATTTAACATCCCCGCTCTATCTGCCTTTGTTAGAAAGTTGGCGAGATCAGCCGCTAAACTCAATTCTCCCCGGGCCAAGGCTGCTTCAACTAACCGCAACGAGTGTGGCGTCGAAGATATAAAGCCCCACATTTCCTGTAGGATCACCAACAGACATGCTGCAGTTCGCAAGCGTCCAGACACAAAACATTGCTCAAGCAACGCAGCCGGTTCACCTGCAAGAGAAAATAGAAGAGGCCACCGCTTCGAATCAAGCTTTCTGGCACACCTCACCACCACGTCCTCATACTCCCCAAAGTATTTCAGAAGCCGAATAACTCTAGGGAAGAGATCACCTCCCGCTTTTCTTCTTCGAGGTGATTCCGGAAAGCCCTTACTGCTCGTTAGGTGTGTTGAGCCGGGTCCGTACTGCCGCTTTGGATGCATGCCTCTACCGTCCGTGACAGCTAGAATGCTTCTAGCATTAATATTGACGTTCGCATCTTCATCATGTTCGAGAACAGCTTCGTACAAAAGCCACTCAAGTGAATCAGCAAACTGTGGTTGTGGCACGCACTTCAATGCTACTTGTAAAGCTGTCCTTTCGTCACTCATTGGCTTCATAAGCAAATGCCGAAGCAGAGTATGCAGTATCGGCTGCCGCTTTACCTGAATGACATGACAGGGCATTGAACCAGACTCAGAATCAAGGTTATGCGTCACTAGACCTTGAGTCGCGCCAAGAAGCATTCCATATCTTGACATTATGGAGAGGGGGTACACTTCAGGGTCAAGCTCAAACCACTGCTCGACTTCCACTGCTTTCTTCTTAGATGTGAATGGAAGCGGGGGCGAATCAGGGACTCCAATAAGTGGTTCATCCAAGTCGTTTTCGATTGACAAGCCGTCTTGGAAGCAAACATGAAGCCCGTCATCTCCGTATGCCCACCACACGGGCCGATGCGATATCATATCGAATGGCGTGCAATCCACTGGAGTGTACCAGAAACGCTCAACGTATCGCAAGAGAGCTGTCGATACCATCCGTTCAGTGTCAAGCAAAATAAGGGACCCCGTGCTTCGCAATAACATTATGTATGTTGGCGGTGGGGCTTGCTGATCATTTAGTCCTCCTGGGGCGTGAGTTAGAGGCGGGAATATTCTTGCTTCGCTTATTCCTCCACCCGGCGCGGGAGGTGGCGCAGAATCTTCATCGTCTCCCGAAAAAGGCTTTCCCACCTTGGTCTGTCGATCTTGCTGGTACATCGGAATCAATTCGCGTGTGGGAAGGAAAATTCTGTAAACTTCCTTCAGATCGATTCTTGTTCGGTGAGGAACCTCCTTCATTTGGTACAAGAACACCTGCGCGTTCTCACATATGACCAACAGATATCCATCAGCTCGCACATCTGTGAGCACCGGACGTGACGGGAGCTGTATTTGGGCTTGCAGAGCGCTCGACTCAACTTGGTCGCGTGGGTAAAAGAGCAATTCATATGTCGATTTGTACCTGCTTCGGCTAGTTCCATTGGTGACTTCGTTGCCGATGACGATGGTCTTGCTGACCCATGCAAGCGCACAACATCTGATCCTTCGATCGTGCTCAAGATCACCAAACACGCGCCATTTTTGCGTTCGCACATGACACATAGCAACGCCATACTCGCCTGCGACAGCAACGAAAGATGCATCTGCGTTGACCGCGATCCGTTTTGGTGGCCAATTGCGCCAGAGGTAATCATGAGGAATGAGCAAGTGTTGCCACGAAAACAAATCGTTCCACGCTGCGCTTCCTTGTTGCCCAGTGGCCTCGTCTGATCCGTCGGCATGCCAGAGCAGCAGGACGCGATCCGAACCGAACATGGCGAGACGCGATGATTCACCCTGACAAAAATGACTCCCAACGCTACCCTTGTAAATGGCAAACTCCATAAAATGACAATCAAGTATCGGTTCGGGAGTTTCCTCCGTGACCCTGGGTGCTGCCCACAAGAACAAACCGTTAGAGCCCCATGCGGCGGCAAGCACACCTTGTTCCATGGGATGGACGACTGCATGACTCTTGCTATCCTTGTTCCTCGAGGCCGGGGTGGTCGGCAAAGTGCCTCCAACTTGCGGTAACGTCCACATCAAGCGGCAACCAGAAACGGACCACACAGCGAGCCCGCGCTTCTCCCAGCCCACAACCAGGGCCGCACCATCATCAGTCCATCGGACGACGACGGCAGCTCCGACATCGGTGGGTTCGAAATACCAACCCGACAAGCTGAGTCGGCGCATGACCGGGCAGCGATCACCGGCCGGGACGCCGATGTAGTATTGCTCAACATCGCCATCCTGCAATCCAACGGTGGCGAGCATTCTCCTCGGCTCTAGAGCAATAGAGGCGGCGCCCGTAGTACGAAGCCAGCGGCCGTCAATGGCACTCGGTCTCGCGCGTCCGCCCGAGTGCATCGCGAGTAGCAAGGCCGGCCCCGCGGCGAGGACGAGGGCGGCAAAGCCGAGCTCGCGGTTATACGAAAGTGCGATGATAGCGGCCGGTGCGTTGTGGAATTGATGGCTCGGGCAGTCGTGGTAGACGTCCTTGATGATGTCGCGCAGGACGGGGTGATCGGGCAACTCGCCCGGACGGACGACGCCCATTTTCGCGAGGGCGTCATTGTGGCGCAAGAGCTCGGGGACGTTGGTGCGCCAGAGAAGGTCGCCCTGCCAGTCGAGGCAGACGAGGGCGCCGGCCGAAGTGGCGACGAGGGCGCCGGCGGGGCATGGAACGGTGGCGGTGAGGGTTTCGGTGGCGTGGGCGACGCGGAGATGGGCGATGGGGGCGAGGGTGAGGGCGGGGAGGGGGTCCGGCTGGACGAATGCGTGGGGTTGGTGCGGGGCATCGAAGGCGAGAAGGTTTGAATTTGGGACCGGGGTGACGCGGAGGAGAAGGAGCAGGCCGTTGCGGCGGGCGAGCAGCAGGGCGCGCGAGGAGGGGGCCCAGGCCGCGGAGACGATGGGGCCGTGGGCGGGGAGGGAGTGGAGGGGGAGGGAAAAGCGGGCGAGGAGGACGCGGTGTTGGGCTGCGCTCCAGATGTGAAGAGCGTTGGGGGAAAGGGTGAGGAGGTAGCGATCGCAGGGGGAGGGGAGTAGGGAGAGGACGGGGGTGTGGACGGGGGTTTGAGAAAGACGGTAGGCCTTTGGCCAGCCGTTGACAAAGTAGCCCATGCGGCTCGAGGGGATTATTGGGGGAGGGAGGGGGGAGAGAAGAAGACGGTGGAGAGGTAAGTTGTGGTGTACGGTATGTGGCAATGAAGAGCGACAGATGGGGAAGGGCGCGTTT